TCATAATATTAATTTTAAATAGAAATAAGTAGATTGTTAATTATAAAAGTAAGTATATATATAAATAAAGATTAATTAAATATAATATAATTATTATTATTGGTAATATAATTATTATATTTTTATAACGTTCCGGATACACCGAAATGAGATGGATCCAAAGATAGTATAAGTATGAGATTGTATAGTTGAGGATGACTTGAATGAATTAATTTGTACTACCTATACTGACAACAAGCATCTGCCTTTCTATAGCTTATCTCATCAGAACTCCACAATTAGGCGTGCTTGACTTGGAGTAATATAGGGATTGGTGACCTTCTGGGAAGTTTCCTAGAAACTGTGCAGTAAGGGTAAAACATGTTGAAAAGTGAAGTGTCGTGAAATAGAATCCTTGAGAGGCCAAATATGAGAATTGTTACAATAAATTTATTAAAATTAAACAAAAAATGTTTCGACGGATTTATCTGTTGAAATCATATAAAGATTTTCAAACAATTTTCGACGGATATATCCATCGAAAATTTCTGACGGATTAAATTTTTTTCGATAGATTTTTTTTCTACAAATTTGCATCCGTCAGAAATAGAGAATTTTCGATGGATTTTCCTTCTTTTCGACGGATTATGTCTGTCAAAAATTTGCGTTTTTCTTGTAGTGTTCAAGTCCCTAAGGTAAACAACCTCTAGTCCATAAAACAACGAAGGTAAGAAAAGTCATCAATATGGATCCATAATCTCTAGAAAAGGATTGACTTTGAGAGTTGGGCATAAGAGTCCCAGTCTAGAACCTATCAAACTTGGTTATAAATATGTTTCTTTGGAGTCACACCTTGTAACTTTGTAAAGCTAAAAGTTACGCTTTGTCATTTAAAAAAGTTAAACAATCATTTTATCTAAAATATATTATTTAATTGAAATTTTAAATGTATAAGATTAAAAAATAACTCTTGTTCATATGATTTAAACTAACAAAATTGAATCAAGCTACTAGCGAGCTTGAACCAAGTTGAATTCAAGCTGAAAAAATAAGTTCTTATCAAAATAAGTCATGTGTGACCTAAGCCAAATGTTATAGAATCAGTTGAGTTGAACCGAGCTCGTCTCAACTTGACTTATTTTTAGTATCGTTGGATCATAAGTGTTGGACATGTATAAATTTTGACGACTACGCAATTCTTAAGAAAATGAAATATTTTTGCAAGGTTTTATATAATCGTCATAATTAAACTGCAAATGATAAACCTTTTCTTTTTTAGTGTGGACAGTGCACAATCACATCTTAAAGTAGAAACATAGTCTCAATTTTCTATACTAGAATGCATAACTAAATCTTTGTGACAATATCTTGTTTGAATCAGCAAGCAAAACCCGTATGTCCTGAATATCATAATGTAATAATGCCAAATTGCCAATGGGCATCAATAACTTACTTGAACCTACAATCCTACTCATAAAAAGTAACACGATTTTAGGAAATAAACATAGATAAAAAGGAATAATTAGAAAATTTACTAAATAAATTTCAGTAAAGCAAAATAAAATTTACTTTAGGCAAGTCATTCTTGCAACACATACAACGATGACCCCAAGCTTCAAACACTGACATACAATTACTCCATAGAAAAACAATTTTTCGCATAAACTAATACTTTATTCCTTCAAAAGGAACAAAGCTTTCACTATAAATTAAAATTTTAGAATTATAATTTACTCCTCTAATACCAATCTCCTTAGACAATTGGGTTCTAAAATCAAAGCAGCCCAACTCACCATCCTCTTTTATGAAGAATATAATACCCTTGTTTCCAACAAAAATTGGCAACTCAAAACAGGGTAAGGGTGTAATGGTCAAAAGTTTGGTCCATGACTCCTTGACAGCAATCTCCCCCAAAATTGATATGTCTAGGATATTAGTCTTGAAATAGTTAGAAATCACTGCAATGGACCCATTGAACACCGCCAAGTATCTATTCACATAATAAGAGTTTGTAGGGCAATCTATTGGTGTTATGTGGAACATCTCATTGCTCTTGTCAAATGATATCAACAGGTCTTCTTTTGTTGCTATGTCATGGTGCTTGGTGCCCCACCAATGTAATGACCCATTCAAGTTCACCATAGGACCCATTGGTTTGCATATCTTAGAAGCACAAATTGTATCAAGATCAAGTTTTTTCCAAGAGTTGCTTTTCAGGCTATAGATTTGCCAAAAGTACTTTGTTTCTTTTAAATCATCTAAAAAGCAAGCAGCATGCTGAAGCAACTTATAATCATCATTGACATTATCGTACCAAAACCCAGGAGTATGAACCATAAATGAAAAGCTTGTACCTTGCACTTGGGACAATCTAGAAGGAATGACCCTAAATTCCTTAGTTATGGGGTTCCACAACACAACATTTTCATCACCATAACTACCTTTGCTACGAATAAGACCAATTGTACCATTGTCGCAATAATCAAGAATTGTAATAAATTCGACATCCTCCTCTAGACAAGGAGGTGGCCAATCAAATTTTACCTTTTTCTCAAACCTCTCACCAGAAATCAAAAGAAGATTTGGAAGACCTTCCGGGACTTGTTGCCATAAGAGAATTGGTGAACCATCGTCATCTTTGGAAGACCAGTTTTGTAAATACATACTCAAAAATTTAGGGTTTTCTATCAAATTTGACCACGAAGTGTGCACACACCCAAATCGCTTCAAAGATTTCACGGGCAACCTTGATAGAATACTCAGTGCAACATCATAAGGTATATTGATATTGTTGTTAATAACCTTTTCCTTCTTGCTTGTGGGTTCTTCCATTTGTAAGTATGAACTGTGTTTCAAAATAGAAATGACAAACTCAATGTATTTTAGTGATTTGGATTTCCAGAAATAGCTAGTTACTAGAAAATGATAATCTCGGTGTGTTTAAAATAGAGAAAATGGGTGTGAAGAAGAGAGAATGAGCATGTTAGAAAACATGGTATGGGTGAGAGGGACAAGAAACACAGTGACAAGGTATTGGTCGGGGGTTGTAATTTATGAGAAACATGAATTTTAGTCTCTGTTTGTTTTCCTTAACATTTCTCATTTATCGAACTGTAATCATCATAATTCAATTTTAATTTAGCAAACGTTGTCTTCCTATAGTTCTTATCTGTCATTTTCAAAACAAAATTTTAATCATTTTTAAAGTTTGAGATAATGTATTCATTTATCAGTTTCAATTAATATATTTTGGTCTTAATTGAACTTTAAATACTTTAATGTTTATCATAAATGTGTGAAAAATAATAAATGAAATGAATGTCAAATGTTAATTAATAAAAGAAATAAATATAAGAAGAAATAATAAATAATGTTGATATAAAATTAAATGACATTAATTGACTATTGAAAATTGACCAATGGTTTTTTTTTTTTTTTACATAAAACCAATCACTAATTTAGATTTATTATTTCTTATAACACTCTTTGACTACAAAACGTTTAGTGTGATATTATCATGAAAATATGTTTATTTAAAAATTATTAAATAAAGAAATTCTTTTATTCACATTGTAAAAGGGTTCACACGTCTTAATTAACTGAATAATAAAACTCTAATAATATATATATATATATATATATATATATATATATGTGTGTATGTATGTATATATGTAAACTTAGCCACAAATTAGCCTTTACAAGCCATTAAAGGAAACAAAACATAATAAGGTAAACTTTAACTCTAAAAAAATATGATTATGATAAAAGAAGTAAATAAAACATAAATTTTTCATTAGCCTCAATGTTACGCTAATTAGAGCAAGATCCATAAAATAAATAAAATATTGCTTCTTAATATCCTCCAAGTTTTCATCGTCAAATAGAGTTGAATTTGAATACCTACAATTTCAAAATAGAGTTAAATTAAAAATTTGTTGATCATTTTACAATTTAATAATTATATAAAGTAATTTAATTAGTTTAAATATGTATTACCTCCTTTCATGAGTTCCTAATGTTACTGGTAATAATGGTGAACATGTACTTTATCATGAAATAGTTGCACTCGTGATTACTCGCTTTATGTGGGCATTACAATTTAGTGAATATGAAATATAGTTAGAATATATTTTAATTCAACTATAAATATTAGGTTGACATTTGACTTACTTTTAGGGCAATAGGTTAAAGCTTCTTTCGAGCTACCAGAGAAATCCTCATAAGATCAAGCTTACATCCAAAGACCTATGACAATGAATGATAAACCAAAAATAATTAAAGAATGAAATAATTATTTATTTAATTAAATAAAAAGGAATATGTATTCAAATTAGATACTCAGTTAATTCAATGTATAATAGCCAAATCTTAGTAGTTTTATTGTGTAATGAACACAATAGAACTATAAGAAATTGCCTCAAAATTATAACAAGTAGTTGCCAATGAACCCTATTTTTTGTAAGTTACTTTAAAATTCAAATAAAATTTAAATTTATAATTACCTATTCAAATAAGTGTTAAGTAAACCTCCTTGCCTCTTAACCTAAATTGATCTAGCAAATACTCTTTCACCTTAGTGTCTTTATTCCTAACATATTAGATGACAACCAGGTCAATGAAACTATAATAAAAATCATTTTGCATCTTGACAAAGACATGATGAAGACACCATAAATTGTAAAAAATCAACATAATGTTAGGAATGTGTAATTGAATATATTAGCATAAAACAATTACGATTAATACTTACAACTTTCATAATTACATCACTGATATGAAAAGAGGTCACCACTAGAAACAATGTCCATGACATTGTGCTGGCATAAAAAGAACAGAATAGGCTCCTTCCTAATAATGACCTCGGAAGGCATTGTTATCTCTATGTCACACTTCTTGAGATCCAATGTTATCAAAGCCAAATGATAGATAGGAGAAAGCTTAGGGGTGCTTCAATTTTAGCAGCAACCATTTTTCTTTTTCTAGAATCAACCTAAACATCATAGAATATAAAATATTAACTTAATAAAACACAATTAAAGACATCATTTAGAATTTAGTAAATTAAAACATTGATTACCTTAGGCACGTAGGCCCTAGTTAGCCTACTTGGCCATATAATAAAGGTACTCAAGGCCTACCCCACTACTTGAACCTCCAAAATGGGCACAAAGACTCGAGTATCATGCTTTCTAACATTGACAACCTTCACCCGTACCACATCATTTGGAATTGCTTGGTGGTGGATGGTTGACCCCAACATGTGCACCTTAGTTATGGCCACCAACTACTCTGGGGTGTCCTTTATGTCTAATGTTCACCTCCAATTGTACCTCATCAGCAACCTCTTCCCTCGATGCATTAGGGGCAACATAACTCCTCTTCATGCTAACAACATTAGTAAAAGGGAAAATCTTTGGAGGAGGAGGAGGTCGTGCAGTATGACCTATCGATGCAATATTTGCTTTGAGGTCTACTAATTGCTCTACCTTCATGTCTATATACATGTTTCTTCTTTCATTGAAGTTCATCTTTAAGGTGTATCAAGTCATCATCACTAATATGTGATCTACTAACACCCTTAGCTAAAAGAGGTCTAAAGACAGGACGAATGCCTTTACCTCATCCAATCATATGAACATGACTCAGATGTTATCGATGACCAATTAAAATCGTTAAAATATCTTGACGTCCTTCCTCAACAATGGTTTCTATGCATCACTACACAAACAATCATACAACTGCGTGCATTTAAAAGAATCAGCCCCAACATCACGGATCATGCCCTCTCTAGTCAATCATCCATCTTTAACAATTCACCATGTCATGTCCATACTATATAACTTCTAAGGAACCCATCACACAAAACATGCTCTCATAAACATAAAGTCTTTATTGAATGCCTTTGCAAATTAAAACAATTCACACAAGGATAGCAGAATCTTCTATCATTTTTTGTAACATTCTTTTATACAAATTGAAGAAACTTTTCCACTACATTCTCATATTCAATAGTTGTGTGTAAACATTCCATCTAGCTCTAATCCATTATTGTGTTCATTTGACATAAATAGTGTAAACAACACTTTTAATATAAGGTGTGGCCCTACCACAATTAGAAGCATAACTATTTATACTTAATTAATACATAAAGGTAAAGTCTCATACATTATATTTCAAAAAAGTTTGGTAGCATTTCACATTGCCCTCTAAGTACACAAAATAAAAGTGATGACCACAAATTCACAATAATCAAGTATGCACCCAAAGAACAACAAGAAATGTAATCAACCAAAATTTTATCAAATTTAAAATTAGACTTATGTAAAAATTTATATATCTTTCCCAATTGTCCAAATGGACAACTTAAGATTCAATATAATGATTATACATTGTGTAAGCATTATATTCAATCTAAAACAGAAAATTGAGGTTCACTAACTATTGATCAATCCTAACAACTATAATATAATTAAAACATATAATTAAATTATCTCAATAATAAATTTAAAATTTATTTAAATAAATTTTTTTTACGGGTACCAAAAATAATCTATGTTTATATTATGTTTATATGGGTACCTAAAATAATCTAAATTTATGCATAACTAAATTAACCTAAAATTATCGATAACTAAAATAAACATTTCTATGTTAAATAAATCCAAATTATGTTATGGATTTATTTAATTATGTACATTATGTTAAATTTATCAAACATTTTCTAAAAGAGCAATATAAAAGTTCATTATAACTACTAAAGAACTCTCAAATGAGTCCCAAAATAACTCATTACTATGTACCCGAACACCTCTATTATAAGTACAAAAAAACACAAATAACCACCAAATTTGTTGCATTATAAGCACCAAAAACAATCCCATAATTAAGCACCAAAATAGCTACATAGAATAGCCCCAAAGCTAACCCCACAATATAGTCAAATTAACGCACACATCAAACCCAAAATAATCCCCTACATTAGACAAAATCAACCAAAACATTGTTTTAGACAATTAGTTAAACTAGCATGCATGACTATATTCATCAACAATGAGCAACAAATTCTAGCATGCATGATCCTTATGGCTATAAAATATTGATCATTCTCCTAAGTCTTGTTAGCATAAAATTTATTTTTATTCCTATTTTGCCCTTGTCTTTAATTTCCCATTTTTACCCTTGTATTTTGGAATTTTACTTGTATTTCCCATTTTACCCTTATATTTTGGGGTGCCTTGGATTATAGCATTTTATTTTGTAACTAGGGTATTTTATTAGGGTTGGAAACTAGGCCTAGACATGTTTTTGGTAAGCATTGGATTGATTTTTCGACTTGGCAAGCTTAGGCCCAAGAGGAGGGCACCAAGGTTGCATCCTCTTATCATGCACCTAGTTATAGCATAAGTATTCTTTCACCAAGCCACTTCTAGTTCAAACCTAAGTGTTCTTTGAATTGCCTCTTCAAGCAATCTACCTAAGTATTCTTTTCACACAAGACTTCTCCAAGCCTCAACACTAAGTATTCTTTTACAATCAAGCTTATTCAGTCTCAAACAATAATTCTTTTACAATCAAGCCTTTTTAGGCTCAAACATGTATTATTTTGTAGACAAGTCTCGCCAGGCTCAAACAAGTATTCTTTCGTAAACAAGTCTCTCTAGGTTAAACCTTATAACAATAATTATATTTGGATAAATTTTTACATATGTTGTTTTGTCTTACACATAAGATGTGATACAATCAATTAAGAATAGAAGTTTTTATACAAAAATGAATGAATTACAAGAGTTATTCTTCTATATATGTGGCTCTACTTTCTTTATATTCATGAAACTTCTTATATAGTAGCCAAGATGAAGATGACCATTGCAAAATCTTGAAGATTCCTCACAAGCTTGATTCATCTATCTTCACTTTAGGTTTTTTGAGGTAAGAAGTGTCTGTTGATGTATTAAATGAATTTTACTAAATTGTCACTTCTTATCTAATCAAGAAGACTAC